GAAATCGCAACGAAGATAAATCGCGGTAAAGCGTGGTCGCCGCGGCGCAGAGAGCTAAACGATGTTTTACATGATCTAAATTCTTGGATCGCTTTAAACGCGGTACGAGCATAGTTGCTTCGAAAAATGTTAACTTTCGTTCAATATAACTTCGAAGCGACTTACGCGTCGAATCAGCTGCTTCTGTTCGAACTTACGTAGCTGTTTGCGCGCGAAGAACAGGGAAAGCACGGGGGAAAGGTGAGTACGCATTTCCATTTCGCGCTCCTTGCCTTGGCGACCGCGAATTTTCCAAGCGTAACTCTCTTGGTTCTCTCAGACTCCACGCGAAAATCGGTGCGAAAATCTGGCCAATTGGCCGAGCAAATCTTGCCACTCTGTTACCATTTCTCGAGCGAGTCGGTCGTTCGTCCAGGTGGGGGATTTTTAGGAATGTAAAACTGTTTCAAGTACACTTAGGCACGAATCAACGATGCATACTTTGTAGCAAATGATTTTAACGACTGTTTACGTCGTGGAATAATAACGTTGCCGTATGGTCTTCAGCCATGTCGCACGTTTGAGAGATGTTGTTGTTTCCAGAAACAATTGAACATGTTTTGCGACAAAGAAATACCCGACGGTCTTCAACCACGTCGCCGTTTGAGAGATGTTGTTGTTTCCAGAAACAATTGAACATGTTTTGCGACAAAGAAATACCCGATGACGATTTTCGATCACGTATTTCGTCCCACGAGTCCTTGGACCGCAGAGATATTCTCTTATTTTCTCGTTGGACAAACTTAAAATTCGCATCCGTGGAATTATAAGACGCCTCGCGCACGAGGTAATCTGTTCTCTTTCTCGTTCGATTAAACCAAGTGCAGCGTGGTAATGGGTTAATAAACAGGCTTTCCAGGGAACGTGGTCGCGCGAAACTAAAAGCGTAATAGCTGCAATCGCGGGATTGCGGTTTTAAGCAGATGATGCGCGAGAAACCGGTTTCCGTGTCCTCACTCTCGACAAGTGACACAGAAACACGATATACACTCGTGGCACACATTTCCAGCTCAAATTCTGCATCGGTCGAACCACCATTTTAGGAACAGCAATCTCTGAATTTCCTCTAGATACTCATTATCCCCGAATTATTGTTCCATGGAAATATTTAAGATTAGTCAGAGTGAGCCATCTTCGACGGCGATTTAACCCTTTCGCCCCGGCAGATTATCGTCAAAGTCTTTCGTTTTGGCGTTTGAAATTTTTCGAAATACTTTGAATATTGGAATTTAAGGTAATAAATTAAAAGATGGTATTTCAGTTATAAATTCTTCTTTATTTTTATACGCGAGGAAGGCACGTCAAGACAAGACGCTAAAAAAGAAAAAAAAAACAGCGTCACCCATACTAAACAGATCGTTACTACGTATGTTATTCTTCTATGTATGTTTATATTAATACACACACTCATTTCTCCTAATAATCCAACATTAAATTTATCTGTTTTAAAGTTTTGCTGTTAAATTAAAGTGAGAGTACTCAAAGGGCAAAATTTAACCCTTTCGTTACTATTGGCGCCTATGGAAACTCACTCACACTGTACAGTTCGCGCCTTTTAGTCTAATTTAATCCTTAATTTCATCTTTCAAGTATTTCCACCTTAATTTAACGAAACAAATTTCAAAACGATGCGGCCAAAGTAAGCAACTTTGCAGCCGTGGTTAAAAGTACACCGCCAGTCGTCCACGTTACGCGTTAAAATCTGCCGTAGCGAAAGGGTTAAGGATCGAATTAAGCACGTCGCGAGAAAATTTTCGAAGCGCCAATAGCAGTGAAAGGGTTAACGTCTCTCTGCTCGTGACAGACGTTTCACACATATATTCCCGAATGAGCGATCCGCTGATTTACAAAAAACCGCAAGAAGAAGAAGACGCTGCAAACAATGGAGACAACTCGTTTATCGCAACCACTTGCACATCCTACAAATCGGAACGAAACAGCGAAGATGAAGAAATTACAATCGGCGATGGAAGCGAAAGCTTGTAAACGAGCGTATATTTGCTTCGTCCTTAATCGATCATATATATCATGGCGGCGTGGAAGTGACTATCAGCGAGCCCACCGTGGTGCTGCTTCACGCGTAATTTTCTATTTGTCGGACATTGACGTGCTTGTTTCGAGCGTTCAGCTCTCCGCCGCTATCTTAACTGCAAAACGCTGTGAATGAATGCGGTGCTCTTTTTGCGGAGGCCACTGAAAGGCGCGAGGAAATTTATCGCCGCGGCTCTTCCTCGCTGCTGTAATTAATATCGACCAGCACGTATTAAGTACAGTGTTTCGTCTAGGCACCATAAATTGTTTGTATGCTGTGATTGAAATGTTCGCTGTCGTCGTAATGGATCCATCTTTGCTTAACGTCCACGATAACGCTTGTCTTTATCTTTATCTCGAACTTGTTCACTTACGATAATTCTGCACGGACGATGGAAAAGTGGAAGTTAGCGGCGTAATTTGATGACAAGGAAAATTCAATAATTGTGGGTGCTGGGAACACTTGTGGTTATGGGAATGATCGACCGTTTCGCAAGGGGAATTTATTAGCAATTCAAAGAGGGTGTAATTGGACGTTTTGTAAATTTGGTGCAAGGCTGAAATTCGCGATTTCTCCGTGTCAATCTGTGTGCCACGGTTTGCAGACAGTCGAGAGTAAATTGCGCAAACATCGAGGAGCGAGAACTACGGGTCGAAAGACGGTTTTCCATTAAGTTAAAGAGCCGAAGTGAAGAATGCACTTTTGCATTTAGCCGAACGCGTAGATTTTGAAGTGTGCTTTGCGGTGGAAAGTTTCTGTACCCAATGTGCCAATACTATCGATCACGATCCCCCCTAAATGTCAAACAAGTGACCTATGAATCGAATATTTTCCCCAGATCCTCCGTTTACCATTCGAGACGCGGTGTAAGAATGCCTCTCGTTTTAATCATCGATTACACATTACACCGTCGAGATTTGTAGCACTATAAATCGTCAACGATGACAGTAACGAGATTCACCGAGAGATTCACGTGGATAACGTCGTTCTATCAAATTTGCAGCTTTTCTGAGCATATACGTAGCTGCTAGCAATTCAAGCTATTCAGCTGAGACTCGGAAAGAAACAATCGTCGTGGAGAAGTTTAAGCAGGGCAACGAAGTGTTACAGGGTGAATTCGTTCGTTCATCTATCTCAAAGGATCAAGATTTACCGCAGAAACTTGCGTCGCAAATTACACAGACACGTTGTCACGTCTCCGCTATTAACATCATTTTCATCATTTTCCTATGCACACACACGAGCTCGGCAAGAACGAGAGCTGTTTCAAAGTAGCACAGCTGGTTAATGTACAATGCTCCAGAGAAATTGCGACATGTACTCGAACGGCACGTGTTCCACATAATTTCTGAAAAATCGTGAAAATAAGATGAAATGTTAATCCGTTATCGATACCGTAGAAACGAAGTTGTATCTTGTTTCGATAACCGACTTTTTTCTTCAATCAACATCTCACGAAGGAAAGGCGCATAGATCCTCTCGATTAACGCGTATTTCTCGATTAACTTATGGGTGTCGTTATGCGTGCCATTTCGTCCATATTTCTTCCTCGATACACGGTTTACCCACTTTGGTATTCAAGACGGAGTACCTCCGGCTAATTAGGCGGTGATATATTACTAGTAACTAGTTTTGCACATGCATCTCATTTTCTACCCAATTCCTGTCACTTTTCTTTTCCCTGGAATTTTATGTTACTTTACTTCACTCTGTGCGGAATGTTGGAAAAGTGTTCCACAAATAAGAATTTCATTTGGACGGCCGTGACCTACAGAATCACCTGTCTCATTGTCCCTCCGTTTTCTAAATTTTGTCGAAGCAACCGTCGAATTGGGTCGAATAAATTGAAATTGATCGAGAAATCGTTGTACTTCCTTCTCGCTTCTCGCCGCGTAGAATGGAAAATTGAACGAACGGGAATCAGGCGAGAGAATCCGCGTGTGGCTCTTCAGATCGTCGGACGTGTAAAGTTGTATCGAGATGCTCGGTTGATTTCCTTAATGAAAGGTTGCGCATCGAGTCCTCCCTGATCCTTCAAGTGAGCCAGCAACCATAATTGTGCTACTTCTACTTCGTTTCTTTCTTTCTCCGGTGAAATGCCCGTGTTACCATTCCCCCGTGAAACCTTTATCTCTGTAAACTCACCGTTCACCGGCTAACAGCGAAATTTTCAGCCTAATAAAACTGGCCTAGGGCGAAACGTTTCAGTTCTCGAACAAATTGACCAGGTCTGGACGGTGTCCTTGCTTAACAATAAGTTCTATTCGAACTGCTTCGAGAGGAAAAGGCCAGACGTAATTTTACGAGCGACCGTAAAGTTGGACTCGAACGGCGATTTGCACCGGTCGCGTTAAATTGTCCAAGCAAGTCGTTTTCGAGCTCCAGTTACACCGGTAACTGCGAGCTGTTTACTCAATGGAAACTATTCATTTTCAGAGATTCTGTTAGCGTATTTTCGATACTCGATGGAGGTTCGTTTATCGCGAAACAGATGAAAATTTGCAACTTTTCGCTCGACCTTGTGTACGATAATCACATCGTACGAATTGGAAGGAAAGAAAGGAAGAACTGAGAGGTTGTTTCACATCGAGCAAGCAGTTTTACACGGTGTGATTAAAGCTGCTGCGAAATCGAGCGCACCACCATTTTCCTCCACTCTTTTCCGCCGCGCACCGAATCCTTCGAAATGG